TATTTTAATTTATAGTGCTTGGCTTAATGTAGCTTAAAACACATGTATTTTAACAAGAAACTCCCCAGGGACCTTGTTCAGAACTAATTGCTTGCTGTTTGTGCAATTTTTCAGATATGTAAAATGCTCTGTAAGGACTCAGAATTACTAGACTTTGCTCCAGTTTAGTCTTAAAGATGGGTAGGGGTGTCTAGCCAAAGTATAAGCCTGGGAATCAGGATGTATTGGTCCAAATTCTTGCTCTGCAGCAAGACACTAATTTTAGGCAAGACGCTAAACTGGCCTATAGCTTGGATTTCCTCTAAGGGAAGGATATATATATATATGTTTAATTGAGCTAAAATGCATGTTGAAGGCTAAATACTGGGATTTTTGGAAATTACAATTGAAATTTATTATCATGACCATTATTATTAGTACATCACTCACATTGAATTGAGTTCAGATCATGTTTTTCCCCCTCACAAGGAAGAGGAGGAGGGGGAGGAGATAAGAGGATTTCTAAAATAACTCTGAAAAAGTCTCCTTTCTCATCAGTTTGAGCATGTTCCATCTGCTGTGAGCACATTCCTGGTTTATTTGCTTAAACATCTTTTCCTTCTGTTTCTATTTTAAAGTTCTTTTGGTGAAGATTTTTCCTTTCCAATTACTGCTGCTGGGAGTTGTTGCTGGTGGGGTATTGCAAGCAAGCATTTACTTTTCAGTTTTTGTAGCTAATTGAATGGGAGGCAGTGGAAGTCCCTGCACCTCTTCCCTTAAGTGCTAGGCTGTTTAAATCCCCCTTGCAGCCCTTAAGTTATCTTCCCAGCCCTGGTGATTAACTTGTACCTTCTCCTTTCCTTTTGTTGTTGTAATTGAGCGAAAAGGTTTAGAGCTGCCAAATTCATGGGGTCGCATACATTTAAGGCTGGGACTGCATTTTAGAATATTTTTTTCTTGCTCCAAGTTGACAAGCTGGGGACGCTTCTGCTTTCCCACTCCATTCAGTCTATCATGTTTGCAGCTTTATATTCCCCAGTAAATGGAGGACACACTGCTCAGGAAAATAACACTGCTGGGGATACCAAATGTATTCTGGAGTCTAAATTGAAATCAGCTCCCTCTATTCTGCATTTATAGCTGGAGAACAGGACTAAATTCACTCGGGAAGCTGTTATTTTATTGATGCCTTGCTTCAAATAGCTTCGACGTTTCCCACCCCCCTGCCCCACTACCTCCTCTTAAGATCCCGGCCGAAGCTGCACGAAAGGCCAGGCACGTGGCCGTGGGCCGTATTGGGGGCTGTGGCAGGCGAGCTTTGGGTGAGCTCGATCCCTAGTCATCTGTCCCGGTTCCTTCTTTGCTAGTTGCGCTATCAGAATGCCACCTAATCTGTGATATTTGGAAGGAGGGTGTCCACCTCTTAACAGGACAATTGTCTGCCTGAAAATTGTGTCTTGAAAGAAAAATATTTTGTGGAAATATGGCAGTTTTGCCAAATTTCCTGTTGACTGGCATGAACTGGAAAGGTATTCTTTGTTCCCCCTTTTCTTTTTTATTTCATAATTAGCTTTACTTATAAAAAAGAATTTAAGCCATCTTAGTGGTAACAGTTACTTTTTTGACCATATTTCTGTAAAATATTTCAGTAGGATCGTTTCAATGTTTTCAAGCCTAGAAATGGCACAGTTTTTGTCAGGTGGTAAATTTAAGGATGTCCGACTTTTTTCATTCGGTTGTATTTATCCTTACAACTCCCTAGGAGATGGAAGAGCAGCACTTCCAATATTTTGTATTTGGGAAAGGGAGGTAGAAGAAAACTAAGTGATCCACCCAAGCGTGTAAATGAAACCTGGCATAGAGCAGGGCCGCATACCCAGCTCTTGGACTCGCACGCTAATCATTCACCATCCTTTCTCCACTTAACGTTGGCTCTGGTAGGAATTTCCTATTCTTTTTTCATAGCCTGATTCATCAACACTTAACACATTTTTTGTGCCTCTGGAGCTTGGGGATAGATTTAAAGATACGAATCACTTATCTGAAGAATAGTAGGCTCAAACCTTCCATATGTAAGGCTGGTTTGATTTGAATTTCTTGACTTTTTCTAAGTGAGAAGCTGAATTCAGTTTCTTCCTTCTTTCAGCCTTCCTGGCTCTCCTGATATCCAAAAATGCAAAATAACATCTTGTCTCAGCCCACCAGGGCAGATGCGTTGCAGGGGATTAGACTGGAAATTTTCCTGAAATGCAGTGTTCTGAGATGTTTTTGGAAAATGTAGCTGGGAAGCAGAGTATGTGATGTTCACATGATGCTAACCCAGCAAGACAGTAAATACACAGCAAGGGAAATCTATAGGCACAGGCACCAAGACAGCACTGCTAAAAACCAGAAGGCCTCCTGTTAAGGGACAGCGCCCTGGAGGAGGAGCCAAGCAATGAGCCAAGAGGATGAGCACCAGGAGAGCCTCATTTGCTGCCCAGATGGGCAAAACCAGCGTTACGGCTGTACTTGGGCGCAAGAGAAGAAACGTCAAAGCTTCCTGGCCAGGAGGGATAGATGCCAGTCGGTGGATTAGACTGGGAGGTATGCTGGTGTTAGCGAGTGCAGCATGTTTGAGGAAGGTTAGGAAAGGTCAGGAACAACTCAGGGTGGTGATGGCAGAGGTCACCCTGTATCTGCGGGATCTGCACGTGTTTGACCTCTGGAAACTCTTGCTGCGTGTCTCCTTTCTCTGATTGAAATGATCTCCTGAATAAACCATGCTCTCTCTTCTTCCTCAAGCATTTTTATCCCATCTCCTTGGTACCCCAGGACTGGATAGAAGGAGCAGGGAAGGGTGCGTGTTTGTGAGCATGTGGATAGATGTGGATATTTGAGGCTGTTGCATCCTTACCCTTAGTCTTTGGGGGGAACCAGTGGATGGAGGTGAAGAGAAGCAGCAGCTTCAGCATCTGTGGAGGGGGAAGCTGAGCAGGGGACCCTGCAAGGTTAAAGTCTGCTCCCATGTGGCAGTGAACTGGGGGTGGTGGCTTTGCATCCCCTTGGGTAAACTGACCTGGTAGATTCAGATCAGAGTAGAAGAAAGCAAATGCTGTGGAGTTAAGATATTTGTAGTGCAAGAGCTGTGTAGGAGGACATAAGCTTCTGACAGATGGAAAAAGGCTGATGAATTGTAAAATCATGGATGAAATCCAGCTGTCCTGTCCCCCCTGCATCTCCTGCCCAAATACCTTTAATTAGTCAAGGCCTTGACTTGGGTGGAATTCTAGGGTAGAAGTTTGCAGACATGTTGGCAAGAAAAACTTGGGAAATTGAGGGGGGTGGCGGCGAGGCAAATTTGTCAAAAGGTGTAATTTTGTCTGGGAACAACTTAAAAAGTTGTTTTTTTCTTAATCAAACTCAGATAATTTTTTTCAAGAATGGTTGACTAAATCTAAAAAAATCATTGAACCCTTTGCCTGAAGGCCTGAGTCTCTATGTCATGTAAATTATAAGTCAGTTTGAAAGGAAGCCGCGTAGATGTGTGTAAGAGAAAAGGTGGGCCTTGCAGGAAGGATTTGGTCTAGTGTAATTAGTACAAAATAAATTAATGTTCCTCTGAAAAAGGAGGAAGAGATGATAAGAAAGGTGCACATGAGCTTTGTGGCATGTTGTTTGGAGATATGAATGTCAGTGGAGAAACATGAAGGAAACAGTTAGAAAAATATCAAGTAAAATTCTCTCCCTGCAGGAAACTTTTTCTTTTCAGATTGGTTATGCCAGGCATGAATTTGGTCTGTCAAGTCAATAAAACCTTACAGGGAAAAATAAGGGCATCATAAAAGCAGGGTGAATTAATTCCATCTGAGGGGAGAAGACCACCCGTTGAGTCTTGCAGGTGCTTTGATCCAAAACCAAGAAGTCGGCTAGAACTTAAAGGAAATTTTTAGCAGTGTAATGTGAGCACCGACCGGCCACGAGGCATCAGGGCAAATCCATCACAATTCACTGTTAAGTAACGCTTCAAGTCTCAGCAGTGCTGTTTCGTTCCACCATACAACTAAGAGGTCCCTCTTGGCTTTGCTTTCAATTAATTAAGTCACAGTAGTGGTGAAGGCAGTGCTACAGCAGTTGCTTTCAGCCTAATTGTTCTCCAGGCATGTTTGCAGCTCTCCTGTAGAAATCCCAGCCTTGTTTCAGGACTCAAGCTGCACAAACGAAGTCGCTGCTGTTAAGGCAGTTTGTTTCCCTTTCCTTGGCAATCTGTTCCTAATGCGGAGGAGCCCCGCTGCAGCATGGACTTCTTACTATTTTTTAGCAAATGGCAAAATACTTATTTCTTTAAACAAATGGCAAAAAACATTTTCCATCTACTGAACTGCTTTTAGACTCTACCTGTGCTTAGGAAATTAAGGTTTTCCACGTTGGCATCATATGAGTTTCAGCAGCAGAGTTTTAGAGTCATGTAACCAATAGGTAACAAGCCCGATTTGATAGGTCTCAGTGCAACTGCAAAATTGTTTTGGTCCCTCAGTCCAGGCTCTATGATAACATACTCCTTTTCCTTCCTGTGTTATGGTCTTTGACCAATGGAGTACTCTTTTTTTCCCGTGCACGTAGTATTTAGAGGCACCTTGCTCCCAAAGGTTGACAAGCAGAAGGATCCATTTTATACCACAGTGCTCTGGTTTTCTGTCTTAAATGCAGGACAGACACAGCAAATTAAATCAACTTACGCTTAGTCACATCTATTTCATTTATATCAAACGGGTGCCACTGAAGCAGAAAACATTCTTATTCTCTCCACATTGTTCAAGCTGAAAATTAACCAGCTTTGCGCATAATGGAACTCATACTTCATCTCTTTAAAATAATTGGACCAGTTTTATATTTTGAAAGCAGAGTGACTTACAGTTGCAATGTATCAGTTTATTATTGATGCGAGAGGGAATATTTCCTCTCTCATCTTCCCTGTTTCCCTCTCCGGATCTATTTTTATGAAGTCCGTAACTAAAGCAATCCCTGTTGTTCCCCAACAGAATTAAGACGGCCCCAGGTGTGAAGATATCGGACGTCAGAGTCAGTGATGCAGACCAGTGGGGGATCCAGGAGGAAACGGACAGCGAGAGGACCACTGCCATTATCACATGTGTGCACAACGATCCAACTGCAGAGAACAGGTAGGCAGCCGAGCACTTTCGTGCATTAACCATTGCTGAAATGCCACGCAAGACACACGCTGGCTCCATTAATAAATGGCGTCGCTCTTTTAGTACGGTGTTTTATCCTTCTCGACTTCCTTGGAAAAGCTGTAGGTGATCTGCCAAGAGCTTTCTTTTCTTATGTTTCGCTTCGGAGCTTCAGAAGTAGATGATCTAATTAAGCTGGAGGCAGTGAACTGGTCCTGGCTCACGTGTGCTTTTCTTGCACCTTCAGGCAGTGGGAGAATTCCCGTTGCCAAAGAGCTAACAAGAAGAAATGGATTAAAATAGAGAAATAGGAAGAATAATTGAGAGCAATATGGGACAGTGCTGTCTCCTTTATTTGAAAAGCTGTAAAGGTAATGGCTATTAAGTGTTATTCATTATTGCTGCAAAACACCTATGAGTGTCTATGAAATGTCTCATGAACGCTGTGTGTGTTTATCGTGGCAATGCTCCAGCAAGCTATATCAAAAGTAATGAGAAATTTACATTGTTAGTCAAAATTACGTATTTTTCAATACAAGCAATTTCTCTCCATTATCGTGCAGTTACTCTACACTTAAAGTGCACTATGCACACATTTAGTTTGAAATTGTATCATAATTAGGGAACCACAAAACTTTATGTCAAAACTTTAATTTCAGGAGCCTTCTTTCTGCATCCATCCTTTTCTGAAAGCTCTTTCAAGGGAGGAAAAATGGTGTTAGTGATAGTGTAGACCTGAGAAGATTTTTGCTGAAGGTTAGGAGTGCAAAGTGCATTTCCACTCAGTTTCCTATTTGGTTTCTGAAGCTGTATTAGAGGAACAAATTAATCCCACTTAATTTTGGATACCTGTGATAGGTGTGTTGAAGCGTAAGCTGTTTACTTACTGCGGGTTCCCTTTTCAGCAACAGGGAGACGTAGGCACTGGTAAGGTGAGGCAGGCCTGTGAACAGCAAGTGAAAAATGCCTCTTTCTCTCCAGTGAAGATGCAGAGGCTGGAGGTGACTAACTCAGATGCAAATATTTGCATTGTAAATGCATGATGTGAAGGGAGGTGATTCCTGGGCTCTGTGTCCCTAGTTAAGTCAAGGGGTACAGAGCTTTCTGGCATGGAGCGTCAGGAAGATATTTCAGTTCATTAGCTGCTTCACTGAATTCCTCCCCATGAAAACAAAGAAAGAAAAAGTCTCCTCTTGTTTCCTAAACACATTTGTAAAAGTTGTAAATCTGAATTTGTGGCCATAGGAAATTCTAGCCCTCCTTCATCGTTTTTTTGCTGGGGTTTCAAGGGCTATTATAGTGATAATTCAGAGCTCTCGCAGCTGCATTTGGCACTGTCTGCTTTGTCTCCGAATCCTTGGTCTTTCAGCAAGAATTCCCAGTTCCTCAGAAAGCAGTTAAAGATGCCGGTGAGCCCTGTTAGCGGGGGGACCTTGGCCAGCGGAGGGGAACCACAGCCCTTGTCCCGCTGCCGTGCGTCAACACACGACGACCCTGGCAGTGGAATCTCAGCTTGGGTTGCTCCAGACAGCTGACCTAGGTGGTCACGCAGGATCTGCTCTCGACTGAATGTTGTGGTTGGGTTTTCTGCTAAAACAGCCGTGACCTCTATCCTATTTGGAGCAATGTGGAAAGACATCAATTTGAAAGTGGAATGCTGAGGTTACAGGAAGACTTAAGGTCACTTGGTGCTACAGAGGACTCTGTCTATAGAAACTAAGTTATGATTTTTTTAAAGTTAGACAAAAAACAAGGAGAACACTGAAACTTATTGCCTTGTGTGTGGTTTCACTAATCCATGAAATTATACCTGTCACAGTAACTTAGTTTTTATTAAAACCGATTTTTGCTTTGTGTTGAACTGTTAAATTGCACAAAAGCAACGAATCTCAAGTTAATTAATACTTTGACCTTTTCCATTGTGAGCTTAGTTGTAATATTTTTGGATTAATTAAAGTATGCAAATAGAAACTGCTGAAAGATCGTTTCCAGATTTGCAAATATTGTAGTGCTCAGAGTAAATATTTAACTTTGATCTTTATTTTAATTTGCTTTTTTGGTCATAATGGTGGCATTCTTGTTTCTTTTGAAGAACATTAAAAGTTTATGTGAGAATTCTACTGCTTTGTTTAAATCAATAGGGACTTGAACTTGCTTCTGTTAAGGTCAATGTAGCAAAACTGTCACTGGACCAGATTCATCCATTCCTCCTTTTAGTAATTCAAGTAGCTTCATTAAAGGCAGTTTATGTATGAGTGGGAGCGCAGGATCAATCTCTTTCATTGTCGAGCAGAAACTATTAGTAAACAGAATAGTTCCTACCTCAGGGGAGCCCATGTTCTCTCTTAGAAGTCATTTTAATTCTGCTGACTTGGCAGTATTATGCTCGTAGAGGCAGGGCAAGCTGGGACTGAGCCTCCGAGCCCAGAGGAAGCAGGGAGCCTGCCCGGAGGAAGAGGCTGCTGAGCTTGCCACCACCCTCAGCTCCGCTCTGCAGTCGTGCGGAGAGCCCCGGCAGCCCACCTTGCGGCTGTTGGGGAGGTTTGGGGAAAGTGAGCAGCTCCGCGAGTCAGAGCGGTGCTTGCCGAAATCTTGGTGGTTATCTGCGATGCCCTTAGCTTAGAGATCTGTTCTCTGCTGCTCGCACTGCAGCTGCTCTTTCTTCCCCAGCGTGTGATGCTGATAAGAGCCACAAAGAGCCGTCGAGCCAGACACTGCCTGCAAGGAGAACAGCGGCTGTCGACTGTAACACATTCATGATCCAGCCTTCGTTCCTTTTAGCTAGTGTTATCTTCTGGAGCCTTTTGAAATTTGCTTACTTTTCTAATCTTTCTCCTTCTCCCCTCTGCAGTGTTGTCGTTATCCTGAGTTTTTCGTCTCCATTTCTCATGTTTTCTCATGCAAATTGAGTGTTCATTAAAATGTTTTAAGTTAAGACCTTTCCTCCTTTCATGCAGAGTGCATCATGCCTTTTTTGTGCAATCCTTAAAAAAAAAAAAAAAAAAAAAAAAAACCCTTATCACAATGTTTCAGGCAGTTTACATTATATTCTATTAAAAATCCATTTTGTCCAGGGTTGTCACAATTCATAGATTAAAGCTTTCCAGAGTGTGTTTTGTTAAGAATACATTTATAAATTCACCTCTTTACTAGTCTTGTAAGCTTGTATTTAAAACCTCTTTTTGATAATATAGTTGAACAAAGAGCATGAAGAAAAGAGATTTTTTTTTTTAACAAACACACACAAGTGTGTATGCACACGTCTGTTCTGATCTGCGTGGAGTCTCCCTTTGCCCTTATTGCTGTCATCTCAAAGGACTCTTTTGGTAGCACACTGAGCAAGGTGATTGATTGTTGCCTTGTGCGTTCATTCTCTCTTGTATTCTCTCCTTGGAGCAGGACTCTCTGAATCGCCCTTTGGTAGGGCTAGCTGAATCAAAAGGGTGCTTTGTTTCAAAAAGACAGTTTCTACTTCAAGCACAAATACCATTGTGTTATACAGACCGCTGGGACTGGGTACTTCCATTCCTTAGGAAAGGATCTTTATGGATTTCTGTAATGAGTGCAGAGCACTTCTTGCAAGGAGCAGAGAAAGTCAAGGCTGGTGGGCTTAGATAAAAATTGAATGATTTCAGCCTCCTGCACAGAAGAACTGTTTGTGAAGGATTGGGATCTTATCCTGAGGTCTAGGGCTGAACATAGAATTGCTGCAAAAATACTTTTGAAATACATAGAAGGCAAAAACTTGGGAGTCTACCAAACACAAATCCTTTGTAGTGTCCAGAAAACTGATCCTATTCTTGTAAAGACCGTGACTGCTTTTTCCACTGTATTCATCAGAAGATGGATTGAGCCTTGCAAGTTTTTTGTCCTTTGCGCCTCAGACATATCTGCAAGCACCTTGGGAATATAGCCGCAAATTATGCTGCAGTAGGGCCAGTGTGAGAGACCTTAGAAAAAATGCTCCAAGAACATGGTCTGGTTTTGGCCCATTGCTCAATGCCAACACGCAGAGGAATGGGATATTAGGACTTTGCCAAAGTGATTCAGCATTTTATAGGACTAGGTTATTTCAAATTGTTGGTGAGTGAGAGCTGGGTTTCTACTGTCTCAGCTGAAAGTCCCCACAATATGACATGTTTCATGGTGCTCGATTTCTCCCCTAGAAAGCTGAAGGAAAGAATAAAATTTTAATGAGACCTGAACCTGTGGCTCTGGAGTGACAAGATGTCACAAGCGCAAAAACTTAGACCAGGAAGTTGCAACTCAGCTTTAAAAGGGAGACTATGAAGAGATCATTTTCCTTACTCAGGAAAGTTGTCATTAAATTATATCATTTTTTTACCCAGGGGAGGAGAGTTTAATTCTCTGACAAACTATTACTTTAATCAGAAAGGTTATATTTGTGCTAACTAGCAAAGTTAATGAAATTGATCTTACCTGCAGCGCTGAGTATAGTGTTACTGAGACCAAACTGGTTCTTCTCACTTTGGGATTATTTTGTCTCCCTGTCTATAATACAGCTTCCATTTCTCAGGTTATCTATCACTGCATAAATTAAACTTGTATGAGGGAGACTCAGAATGCAGAAATAGGGAGGGTTTCAGTTTTCATCAAGAAGTATTTCTTTTGTTGCCTGTAAATTTGTATTTTTTAATTGATGCAAGCTAGCTCCACTATCTGGCATTTGAAGTCATCTAACTTTAAACTTGATTAATAAGATAAGAGTCCGTAGTGATCATTCCATTTGTTTACTGTTTTGAAAGGTGCTCACAGAATTCAAATCATTTGAATGATTTTATAAAATCATAATTGTGCTGTGTTCATATACATACGTGTGTGTGTGTGTATATATATATATATATGTCTTTAAAAAGGTAGAATCAGCTATCTCATGTGTTTTTAGGTATATAAATCGATCCTCCAATTTTGAAATAAATCACTTTTTTTTGCGCTTGGGAATACGTCTTGAACTAGAAATATCACTCAAA